CCCCCCCCCCCAAGTCCATTCAGGAAAGATTGGTAAGTATTACTGGCAAGTCACCCGAAATACAAAGATGGAGGTGAGGATAGGTGATTTACTGAGGTTTGCATCAGAAGCAGAGCTGGATTAGAAGCCAAAGCTTGATCTTATTCTACTTTACCTCATACTTAATTAAAAAAATTTCTGCTTTGTTGTTTGATAACAAAAAATGCTCTGCTACACTTGACATCCAGTCATACATCATTATAATGTTAAAATCCAAGTTTCCTGGTCAGAAAAGTGAGCTAGTGGGAAAGAAGGGAAGAGGAGCAGGGTAGGAAGACTTTGGTGTCTGTTCACCTTGCTTTGGGGGTATGAGGAGGTTATTACTGTGAGGAGTTCTTCTTTTCATTTCTGATTTTTGCCTAGTTCTGTCATCCTCCTGAGTGCTTGTTCCAAATGGTATAAACGGCAAGTGCTGTTACAGGAAAATAGGAAATACAACATTTTTAGGAAATACTGCATGTGTCAGGCACAGTCAGTGCAATTGAGGGTCACTAAAAAAAGCTTTATTAAAAAGTTTACGAAATCCAAAGTGGCCAAACACTGGAAAATCTTTTCCTTGCTGTCTTGTGCTGATTTTGAATAGAGACCTGACTTGAACTCCTAAAACGTGAGGTTTAGTTTACAACCCAAAACTATCAGAATATTTTCTGACTGAATATTCATGATGTCGATACAGTAGAGCTGCATAGTCCAGTCCCCTCTGAATTTTTGGTAGTTTTTGTTTGTGGTGAATTCTAGAAGTTTTTGAGACTGCGTGGAATTGTTTGTTTGGTTTGGTTTTGTTTTGTTTTTTTTAATTAGGCTTTGAATGCAACACTGATTAACACACCTTATTGATTGTCCACTTGTTCTTGTACTAAAGCCTTGTTTAAAGTGGAGCAGCGCTCTGCAGTGTGAGCAGTGAACACACTGCTGACCAGACGTTGTGGCTCACAAAAGGCAGAATATTTCCTCTGACCTGCAGCTGGAGCCCAGCAGTCACCGGACGCAGCAGGCAGCTCTAGTGCAGCCCAAGCACAGCCCAGGGTGGACCCTGACAGTGTGGCCAGGTAAAACCTTGGTTATGAGGCAAGAACAGATCTGATCTTCATTTCTAGATCCCTTTATGATGGTAGAAGAATTATAAATTACTCTTTTATCACATCTCCTCTGTCATCTCCTGAGTAAACGAATTTCTCTCTCTTTGGATTCTTGTTTCACTTAGAGGCTTGTCGTGCTCTTGATCTTTTGTCAGGCTTCAAGTTTGCTATTTCCTTTTGAGGCACAAAAAAGGAAGCTGCTGTGCCTGAGAGCTGGTCAGGGTTATTTCCAAGGAACCAGCCACTGTATGAGAACACATTATCCCTCTTTTCCAACTTTGCTTTCACGTGGTTGTTCTTACTGTTCACCTCAAAATGGTCTTTGTTTCTGCAGCCTTCTTTTTGAGGTGGAGTGATCTCTCTCTGTTGCTGAGCGTGCTCCTTAATAGAACTGCCAACTTTGAAGACTCTTTTTCTACAAACACTGGCAGTTGCAGGGAAAACAGGTAGACACTTGATAGACTGAAATAATGCTTCAGATGTTCTCATTGTCTCCCCAAGGATAAGTTGGTAAGTTGAGGTAACATTTTACTGAACCTTTAGCTGTACAAAAATGCCTCATCTGAGGTGTGGGGTATAATTACATCAGTGGTGGTCTGCAGCTTAAAAAGCTTGCTTTCATCTCAGCTGCAGAATGCAGTTGGGTCTGGGACTGCATTCTGTGACAGAAGTGGCCTAGCTTTAAGAAAATAACTTTCTTCCCTAAAGGTAGATTATTTTTAACTGATCTTTTCTGTTATCTGTTTTACAGCCCTTTCCTCCCCTTATCTCACCAAAACATCTGCTAGGAATAAGAGTGAGGCAGGAAGGGAACTGTGGGCAGAAATTTCTTCAATTGCCTTTGCTACAAGAGCAAGTGGATTGTTTTCAACCCTCAGAACAACATCTGTCAAACAAATGGTCCTTTGAAGTGTGAGAAGTGAAACATTTTAATTAGTTAGGACATAACTAGCTATCTTTCTTTCATTGCTCAGGTAGTAAATGAAAGCCACATCTAATACTACCTGGTAATTTTGATGCATTAGTATGCTATATAGAGTAGATTTTCATCACTCGTTTCAACACTCATTTTGAGTGAGTAGTGGGCTTATTCTATAGTAAGTTCTCTGTTTTAATCACTTCATAAGCTATGAATAAATAATTTTTTTCCCCGTAGTTATATCTGCTGTGACTGGGCAACTGTCACCTTGGCAGTGGTTTGGAATTAATTCATTGGCTGTGAGTGACGACACAGTCTGATGTATTTTTTTTTACTGATGGCATCTGCAATTAGTTCTTCACTGAAATAAAAATGACGAGTTTCTTTCCCTCTCTGTGCTGACAGTTTCCTACAGCATCTGTGACAGCCACCTGCATTAAATGCCCCTTGAGACACTGAGACATTTTACATGCAGGCTCTTTGTTGCACAGTTTTAACTAGGTCTTCTTCTTGCCCTCATCATAACTAAGTTTAAAATTGAGCTTAATTTCTGATGCCTTCCTTCTCCCTTCCTTTTCTCTGGTGAGTACGTTAGAAGTCTTTGACTGTAAGGGTTACAGTCTGTCTGTGTTAACATTTTTTTGTACAATACACACAAAGAAATATTCCTGTTTGGGTAATGAGTTATTACTGCAATCAGAATCAGTAATTTTGCAGTAAGTGGGTTTTGCAGTTGGGCATGGTAATTCAGTAACAAAGAATGGGACTGATTTAAAAATACTTAAGTTTTGATACTACTTTTGTCATTAGAGATTTTACAATAATTTTTTTTTGCAGCAGTATAAATGGATGTACTTACACTGCTGTATAATTTACAGTGCACTTCTCAGCTTAGATCTTGTGCCTGCAAAGAGGTTAAATGGATTAAAATATGTTGCTGCTCTTTAGGACGCGCTTCTGTTATGCTGCAAAGCTTTGCCATTGCAGAAGTACTTTAATTTTTAGGAGCTGGTCATGATTAGTCAGAGAAACATCCTTCTGAGGCCTGGGAATTCTGGATACTCTTGATGATCAGCACAGTGGTGAACAATGTCACTGCCTGGTTTTGTAGCAAAGGTTTGATTGTGAAACTGTTGAAGAGTAGAAGAGTTAGAGGTTACTTGATGTTTCAACTTAATTGTCTTGATTATATCTGCATTTTATGTTTTCATGCTTTCCAAGATTAGAAGTATAAATTATAATAATTTTGGAGGGTTGGGGTTTTTTTTTTGGGGGGGGTGAAGTGTTTTGTTTGAATGGGGATACCCCAAAAATGCAAAGCAGTATTCAAAGTTTTTGCCTTTTTTGGGGGGATATAAAATACAGGTCTTGCAAGTACTTAGCAAATCATTAGTCCTGGGAATTATCATAAGAACTGCTCAAAGTAGTGACATTAAACTGTTTTTTAAGTGTTTGACAGCACCACAAGAAAGTGTTCAATGTGGGATTAAAAAACAAACAGGAAAATATGAAGGATAGTGTCTGGGTTGGCTTTTTTGATTAATTGTATTCAATAACTCTTTGTATCCTTCCCTATAGTAATTGAGAGGTACAGTAAAAAGTACCAGGACAGTGAAAAGGAACATGCAACATGGATCCCAGGTAATATCTTAGATTATCAATGGCTAATTCTTTATTAACCTGTGAAATGTTCTGCTCTTTTAAATGTTTGATTTATTATATTTCAAGCAATAAAAAAGTATGCAAATCCTACCAAGTCATGTATTCCTTGTTGAGGGATATGTCCTTTTCATGTTTTCAGATCAAGGCAAAGTATTGTTTTGTCCAAAAAAAGAAAAAAAAAAGGAAAAAAAAAATCCAATGTTATTTATTTACTCAGTTGAAACAACTGATTTGCAGCAAAAATGCAATCTGTAGCTCTCACTCTAGCTCGCTTTCTTTCCTACTTGCCATGCAGATCCCAGTTTTGAACTGGGAGCAAACATTGATGTTACTAAAAATAACCCAACCTGATGTCTTGGTCACAGGTAACTGGGTTTTACAACGTTAAACTTCCACAACCCTATCTTTATAGCTCGCTACTGCAAACTTAATTGTAGGATGTAAATAGAAGGGCACGTGGGCCACTGGAAGGGCTGAACTTTGTCTCTTTGGGGCAGATGCCAACTGTCATTAAGTGGGTGAAGTGCCAGTCCTCACTCGAGTTCTTCAGTTTGAAGTAAAGCTACAATTCCATAAAACTGTTGTGTGCAAAATAAATAATTAGGCGTGCATGTAAACAGGATTAAGTACAACAGGGGCCCCCTACCTTTCCTTGGAGGGTGGCAAGGGGAGGATTACTGCTGTAAATCATCATTCATATATATTAAAGCTGTTTTCTGTACAGATTGGAGAAGACTGCCAAGAGAGATGAAGCCAAAGAAAAAGACCAAAAAAGGTATATTACATATTTTTAAGAAGCATTTAGTACATGTTAGTTGAGTGATAGAAGACATACTGGAGCTGGTTAGGGGGAAAAAAAAAAAAAGTGTAGAAATGTTAGTTTATGTGAATAATCAGGGCTTTTGGCAGATTCTTTCTAAATAATTTACTAGTCTGCCGGTCCCTTGTGGTTTTTGCTTCTGTAGGATGTTTAAAATGACTGGAACAGATTTATCTTCCTTTCCTGCCTTTCATATCACTGTACAATATTAACACATGAGGGATGTAACAGTGAAAGATTAAAAAGAAACCACAAAACTTTTGTTTTGAAAGTTTGTATTTTTAGTCAACACTCACCCTTCTTCTATTCAATGAATAGCTGGCTGTTCAGATTTCCTTTATATTTTGGGCTTCTCAATTATCTTGCTTATGATTTGGTTGACTTTTGCATTTTTTTAAGCCTTTTATATGTGATTTAATGTAGGTTATTTTCTATTTTCCCTGGTTTTACTTTTTTTGTTTATTTTCAGCTTTCTTCTGCAGAATTGTGAACCAGATCCTTCAACAGCAGTTGGAGCTGGTATTGGTTGTTCTTACAGGAAAAATACGTTTTATTACACAGCATCATACGTGTATTTGTTTTTCAAAGTGTTTTTTTAGTATGCATGGCTGTTGTGTTAAGTTCTCCGTAGAAGTCTGTTGCTCTGTTGGTGTGAAATAACAGTTGGTCTCCTGTATCTAGCTGTCTGTTATATATAATTTTTTACTTTCTTGTTCTCTTTGTCCTAGTCCTTCGTGTGTCATTTTTTCAGTTCAAGAATAAAATAGAAAAAGAAAAAGGAATGTGCAGTGGTCATGGAGACTGGCTTAGCTGGAAGCTTTGTTCCTTTTAAGAGTGTCATTGAGAAGCTTGGTAGACTAAAGGTAGACTGCAAGATTAGATTAAATACTTATTTTCAAAAATCTCTAAAGAAGCAACCAGTACATACCTACTTCTTATTTAAAAAAGAAGAAACTGCATTGGCTTTTATAAGCCTGGATGCAATAATTAGCTCCCCAAGATCCAATGAATTAATAAATGCCTATTTACTATTAGCTATTACAATAATGAGATGATTATAAACAAAGAGAGACTCACTGCTCACTGTGAGGGATTTTTTTCCTCTTTCTTTTGTGCCAGTTTCTCTATTTGCTCTTAAAAGTACATTTTCTTACATAGTTGTCATGGCAAAGATCAGCTGACCATCAGAATTTGATTGGATTTAAAAAAAAAAAAAAAAAAGGTTATTCTGAAAGCAAAAAACGTGGTTTTAGGGTTTCTTTTGAATCCTGGTGATACAGAGGTGTGTGTAAATAGCTGAACAGTGACACATACCCTTGTTGTATTTTGAGGACAGACATCTTAGGTGACACTTTACAACTGAGTGGCACAAAGGTGAAGGAGTCAAGAGAATCCACACCGAAACTCCAACAGGCTTCCTACCATTCTACCCGTGTGGATTGCAGGGGTGGTTTTGGGATCACTACATGGTTCCATGTACAGGGATGGCTTCATTTTTACACACCTCTCCCTCCCCTTTTCTGAATGTTTTAACTTAAAGCCTGACCACCTGCCATCTTAGTGACAAAACTTTGAAACTTTGGGTAGTATTCTGCATCTCTCCCACACTTACCCTGGACCACAGTATCCTAGATAGCAGCAGTGCCTGCCAAAAACAAAACAAAAAAACAAAACCAAAACCCCCCAAAAAAGGAAAAAAAAAGAAAAAAAAAAGAAAAGAAAAGAAAAAAAAGAAAAAAAAAGAAAAGGCAAAAAGCATTGTCTGGGTTCAGCTCTATGCATATGTATATAGCAATCAGATGTATTAATTAAAGCCCGAGTACTGCAAGAACAGGTATTTGGAAAGATGAGATTGTGTTCCATTGCACCTCTAAGGAGCATGGATGTCAGGAGCTCTTTTGCTTGGAGTTTTACTAACGATGGGTCAGCGTCTCTAATTTTATGATAAGCTCCAGAGGAAATTTCTTGTGAGTCTGTTTTCATTTCCAGGCTTGTTTGTTCTATAGGCATTATCTCTAAAAGCCTGCAGGGGTTTGTGCAGAGATGATAATCATTTTGAATCGCACTTTCCACTTGTTTTCCTTAAAAGCCCACTTCATTCTGGATGTGTTTGCTTTGAGGCTGTTCTGCCAAGCAGCTTGACTCCCCTCAGCTCCGTGCACTGCTTTTGTCACACAATCCCTTCCCGAGGCAAAACACTGAAACGAAATGAATGTTATTTTTGACAAAATACAGTTGTCTTCTGAGCACCATCGGAAGCTGTGGAGCTACACCAATATGGCACTTTTTACAGTCAGTTTCACCCCACTGAGAAGAGCTGATCTGTGTTAGGTGCAGCCCTATAGGTGTAAGTTTTATGTGATCGTGCTGAACGTAGCAGGAGAGACCAAAAATACATGGAAATGGGATGTCTCATGGAAGTCTCTAAACATCTCTCACTCTGGAGCTCTTCGTTTCTCCTCATCTGCTGGTCAAAGTGCATTCTCAGAATTGGGACAACCTTAGTTTAGGGTGTTGCAATTCAAGTAGCTCTTACTTGGGTATATGGAATGCTATTTTTGACCTTTGCTCTACCATATAATTAAGAGGCTTAGTGAGGTTGGATTGTAGGGAGTAACTTGATCAAGATTGAACGAATCAAGGGACAAGGTGAAAATAGGCACTGTGAGCTCATCAGGTGAGAGGCAGCTGTGGTCCAAAAGCCATCTAGCTGCAGTAACCATGCCTACTGCGTTGGAACTAATAAACTGCTGTCTGCTGCTTTTTTTATGTATCTATCTGAAGCACCCAGCTGTCATTAACGTGTCGCATAAATTAGTAACATTAACGAGTTTTTTTTAATCTTTTCAAGATGATGAAAAATAAAAAAAAATAAGATTTTGTTCTAGTTTCTTAACATATTCTCAGTATGAAGGTGAAAAGTATTTGGTGAATGATTCTATGAAATAATGATTCTATGAAATAATGATTCTAATTATTCTATGAAGCTGACCATCATACTTTGGCCAAAGCTTTGGTCATCAGTTCAAAGTAAATTTCAGACTGGCCCTATAGGCATCACTTACATAAACTGGACATTTACACCTTCATGGATGACGTAGCTCAAAGTCTAAGATAATTTTAATACAGATGGTATGGGATTTCCAAGGCATTCTGAAAATGTAAGCTCTTGAGAGCGAGTCAAAGAAGACACTTTGTCTTTTTCCATATTTAAAAAAAAATATTAATAACAGTGGTGTATTTTATTTCAGCAGGTGCAAAACCCAAAAAGGCAAAAAGCTCTGAGCCTAAAAGTAATCTGGATGTGTTGAAAAAAATTGAGGTAAGGTGTGCATTTCTAAATTGTACAGTATAAATTACTGGAGGAGAATATATACTCTTTCTAAATTGTACAGTATAAATTACTGGAGGAGAACAAAACCTTTACTATATATATTTTGATACTAAATGGAATAACCAGAGCAGCCTTTTTCTGGCCTTGTCTTGTTACCCTGACAGAGAACTGTTCTGCAATGTGGTAGCACCAAGGAGAGGATAAGCCTGGCTGTGGAGAAATTATTGTCTTTGCTCCTGTTTGAACACAACAATCACTAGGTAGCGATACAGCCTAACTGTGAACAGCAGAGCTGCTAATAAAGCTTATTTAATTGGTACCAGAGCTTTTAAATCTATTGCTGATTCAGCAATCGACTGATGTTGGAAATTAAAACAAGTTAATATGTTGAGAGGGAAGAAACAGAAAGAGAAACTTAGGAGGGAAAGGACCTCAGTTTTGGAAGTCACCACCCCCCCTGTGAGAATGGGAAGCTTAAGGGTGAAAAAGCCTTCTATTTCTTCACTTGGTGATACATCAGTTGTTTGGTGCAGACACATTTTTATATACAATACGTGGTATTTTTTAATCAAGTGTGACATGGCCTTCTACTCTCAATTATTCTAACAGTGGACTGTGAAAGGAAATCATCATCTCAATTTCTTACACAAGACGTACTTTTTTTAGCCTTCAAATCTGATGGCTTAATGCTTGATCGAGTAAGTTCTTGCGCTTCACATCATGTTGTTTTAAATACTGACAAAAAAAACACCCGCACAACATTGTTATCCTAGTTGTCCTGCTGAGTAACACTTTGGTAGCGTGGAGGATACGCCGTTGATGTAACGTGGGATTAGCTTGTAAAAGAGATTCCCTTGTGACAGGAGCTGGAAAAGAAGGATGACGAAGAAGAAAAATCTGAAGATGAGAAAGATAAAACAAAAGAAGGTGAAGATGATGATGAAGCAGAAGAACCAGAGGAATACGATGAAGAGGAGCATGAAGAGGTATAATGATAGTTTTCCTACTTACACAGTCAGATCCCACTGGTGGAACAGTGTGTTGGCTGTCAGCCAAATAAATGTCCCTAACTTCTGAGGGAGAGTTGTAGTGAGAGGCATTACTGCATTCAATTTCTTTGTAGTTAATTTGGGTGTTTTAGACTTATTTTTCCTAAAGAGCTCTGAAAAAAAGCTCTTTTAAGCAGGAACGCGCCCTGCAACAATCAACACATACAATTATTCGTTTTCATCATTAAAACGGGGGACAAAATTTTCACAAAAATCTAATGCCTCTTCTTTCATAGATATCAGAACTTCATTACAATATTCTCCTTCTTCTTTCCCAAAAAAGTAAGGAAAGAAAAAAAAACAACCTCCTATTAGTGTTTCAAAAGATGGGTGTTCAAGTGCAGTTTAAAGCATGTTTCTTCCATAATCTGTCTCTTCTACAGATAACAGTGATACACGTTTGGGGTTTTTATTCCCCCCCTTTTTTTTTTTTTTAGGAAAATGACTACATTTCTTCATATTTTGAAGATGGAGATGATTTTGGTGCTGGCAGTGATGACAATATGGATGAAGCAACATATTAGCTGTTGTTGCTCGGTGGTACACGGCTCAAGCCTTACATTACTTGAAGTAGAATTGTGGAGGTAGGCTGAGTATCAGCAGAACTAAAGCTTTAGCTCTGCTGGTTTTAAGTATACTCTCCAAAAACATCGTTGGGACAATTCTTTTTAATTGTGCTGTGCTGTAAAACAAGATGTGGGACCCTTTGTTTTGTTCTTTTTGCCAAATGTTTTGCAGACGTGCACCTTTCCAAGGTTCTCTGGAATGCCTATGGATGGAGTAAGCTATATGCCATTGTATTGCCTCTGCACAGAGGAAAAAAGAATGTATACATTTTAATCAAAATTGTGCCTAAGCATTTGCACTACAGTCAGTTCTACACTTGGGCAGTCAGATCTTGAAAATAATAGTGAAATTCTTGATGACTGCAGCAGAAAAAGAGCCTTTATGGATATAAGCTGCTTGTATTGGGCAGCTCACTCCTCTGAAGGAATGTATGTAACTTCTGAATTCAGGTGACTGAAAATAACTGGCCACTAAGCACTTTAACATAAACTGATCTGAAAGGACCTTAGTAATTTGGACAAACAAATTAGAGTATTTTGAAGAGCTATTATTATCATTAAAAAGAACTTATGATTTTTAGTATTTTGGCAAGAAGGGACTGTAATATTTAACAAATGTGTTACGTTACCTTTATGAATCAGTTTAATTAAGGGAGATTTCATTTAGAAAGAATATATTGCAGAATTTAAGACTGAGAAATTACAGGATCCTGGTTTTCACCAGTGGCACACAGATTAATGACAAGAATTTCAGTTCCTCTGCCTCTTAAGGCGATAGTAACTTCCCTACCTCACAGAGCTGTTAAGTGAGATGGCAGATGATAGCTGTGCCTGTAATTAAATGTTAATGCATTAGTTTACTTTCCTACAGAACAGAAGCTTAACAGACAGCAAATTAATTTAAAAACAACAAAAAAAAAAGTGGGAAAAGAATGTGGTGAAGTATTTTGACGCATGAAGTTTTAATTAGGAAAACAAAACAAGAATGCTGAGAATAGCTAAACCAGAATGTTTGGAAACATTCATTTTATTTAAGAACCAACAGCTGCCTGTAGAAAACTTATTCCTGAGATTAGAAACGTGAGGAAATGACAGAGTATTCTCCGTGTCCCATTGTCCTCTGATGATACAAAATATTATTGATCAGTGTTATTATATTGCTATTGATTAGGGTTGTTTTGGGGTTTCTTGTAGTGTTTGGGTTTTGGTTGTTTGTTGTTGTTTTTTTTTTTACTGTATTAAAACATTCTGTTCCTGATAACTAATGCTTTTATCAGCTCTAATGAAAGAACTTTTTTTTAAAAAAAAAAATAAACCAATTATTTTATCAGTAAAGGGAAGTTTTCTTTGCAAGTTGGGCGCATTGTGAAGCAGCACTTTACCTCACTGCTGACTGGAAAACAGTACTGCATTATTCTACAAACTTCTGTATGCAATAAGAATATGTTCCTTACGGTACAGCTTTCAAGTGTTCTGATAAAATACGTATCAGAGGTAAAGGAAATGAAATCAAAATGCTATGCAGGTCACACCTCAGAGGTACACACCAATTTTGTTTTGAAGTGTTCGTACCTATACGAATGATGTTTAATAAACCTTCTGCTGTATTGCACAGATGTATTGCCTGATCTTTTAGCATCGCACGTGCCAGCAGTGATTTCCTGAACAGGGGTGCCTGTTTCTTGCGTGTGATATACAAGAGAAAGACACAAGATGTTGTGAACAAGGTAAGCATGTTGAAAATTAAATTTGCTTGCCGCAAGTACAACTAGTAGTATCTTCTACTAGCTGTTTTCCGCCCCCCCGCCCCCATGCAAGGTCACAGCAAACTTCAGGTTTGGACAGGCTTATATTCAAATCCTCTCTTAACAGGACAGCAGAAAAACATTGCTGCTTCAAACAAGAAGGCACTGTAGGGTAATCACCATCTTAAGAACTTCACTAATCACTACCTTAGGTTTTCACACCTGTTTCTAAATCCTCATTTCAGAGAATTAATTAACGAGTTCTCAGAACTCTGTGCAGAAAAGTTCCAAGTTCTGCAAGGCGTGCACAGGATAAACTGTTAAGGCTCCAGTTACGATATGCCAGATGTGAATGCTGTATGCAGCTGCTGCCAACAAAATACTTGTTGGCCAATAATGTTTTTATTTAAGATCATACATAAAAACTAGCTGAAACAATACAAAAGTACTGGCCTCCTGTGATAGAACATGTGAAGTATATAGAGCCAAGAACAGATGATATGTATCACTTCCACTGCAGTCTAAAATAAAATCTTTATTTTTTGTATATTACGTTCTTCTAAAAGCAGAGGAGCAGAAGTACTTAAAATAAGACTTGCATCCTCATTCAGGATTATTTTACAGAGTCGTATTTCAGCCTTTATAAAATAGTTATACAAAGACTATTTGTGACAACATACTCCAAAATATAGTAGATTTAAAGCATTTACATTTTACATGATCCAACAGTGCAATATGCACTTAAATTTAAAACCAACTTCTGATCAACAATGTGTTGTAATTAATCTACAATGTAATTTACCACTCCGTTGGTTTTTTTTTTGGGGGGGTTGTTTGGTTTTTATTGTTGGTTTGTTGGGTTTTTTTTTAAACAAGTCAGTGTCTGAAAGACTTAACTCTACAGATTTTAACTTAAATCAGACTTAAGTTCCGTACAGAGCAGTTATTCTGCGTATTCGGGGCTGACAAGTGATGATGACACATTGCCAGTTGTGTTGTACTTTGGAAAAAACAATAAAGACCCCTGCATCCTGCAGAAAACCAAGCCAGCTGATGATTCTAGATCACCAGTACCAGGGGTCCTGCAACCTTGGGAGGAGACCTACTGTATCTACTGATACTGACTCTTCAAATTACAACTATGCTGCCTGAAATATGGTACATAATGGTAAAAACATGCCAGGCTCTTGCTCATGTTATAACACAGTTCAATAACACAGTTCAATAACACAGCTTTCCCTTTGTGTTTCACTAACAACTGCTTATCCCAAGGTGAATAAAGGCTCCTCACACCTGGTGACAATAAACCACAGGGCTTCCAACACTGTAAAAGCCCAGAGCCTGAGACACACTAGAGAACTACTCAGCTGCACCACCGCAGGATGAACCACCCATCTCTTCACTCATACACCAACAGGAGAGAGACCTTCCTGACCAAGTCAAACTACAACTGAAGTTCACTTCTGTACCCAAACCGACTGATCCTACCCATCGTAAGGGCAATTAATGACAGAACAAGGGGAAATGGGTTTAAGCTGAAAGAGGGGAGGTTTAGATGAGCTATTAGGAAGAAGTTCTTCACTGTGAGGGTGGTGAGACAGTGGAACAGGTTGCCCAAGGAAGTTGTTGATGCCCCTTCCCTGGAAGTGTTCTTGGCCAGGCTGGATGAGGCTTTGAGCAACCTGGTCTAGTGGAAGGTGTCCCTGCTGCTGGCAGGGGAGGTTGGAACTGGATGATCTTTAAGGTCCCTTCCAACCCAAACCATTCTATGATTCTATGATCAGTTTGGGTACGAGCAGTGAATTAGGCTTATGTTGCATCATCACAATAGCTAAATTCATGTTCTTTGATAATTTTTTTTAAGAAATGGAAGGATAAAGTATGAAAACTGTTGAGGTTTCAGAAACAGAATGAACGGAGAAGCAGCAAAACATCGAATAAGCTTGCTGCAGAAAACTGATGCCTTATGCACCAAGTTTCAGTCCTACACTGAAAAACATTTGTCTGACAGTGCCAGAACTCTGTGGTCTGGATAAAACAAGTCACCTTTTAAAATTTTAGCCATAGAAGCTGTATCAGATTATCCACCATTGAATTATTTTGCAATGAGGTTTTTCATACAGCCTTACCCAGAACTGGTACTTCAGTATTCATGCTTGTGTTATTGGAATGAACTATTATTTAAAAAGACCTTCAAAAACAAGTATTATGTGAAACATGAAGTTCACGTCTTGTTTGCAATCCCTCTCCTAGTGTGGAAACTATGAGTTGTCACACTATCTCCACAGATAACCACTGATCACAAAGGCTTCAAGCCACAGATCATAGTCCACAGATCCAGCTGTACAGCATTTCCCTTCAAGCTTTCAATTGCTTCAAATTTCAATATAATACATTAAAAGTTATCAAATTCATGTTCATACACTTAGCATGCCAGTGAAGAGTATTTGCCTCATTTATTGGGATTGCCCCAAGAATAGACAGGGCATGAGCCTTTACTTGCAAAATTTAAGTTGATAAAGCACTTGGGAATACCTCCAATTGTTAGATTTTTATTTTTTTATACTGTATATACTTAGTTAAGACACTTAAAGGAAAGCTTATCATCGTAGTCTAAAGGACAGTGATTATTTTTCCATTTCTCTCTCTAGATCCTATTTAACTCGGTTATCTTGGGCTCTGGTAACAAACAATACTTTGAACAGGGCAATGGAAATCTTACTCCACGAGGCAAATATAACAAAAAAAATTATAGGCAGCATCTCAGTGTTTATTTAAAAATATTCTGAGTACACAAGTACCTCCTTCTTTCTGTAGGAAGAGTCCAGCAGGGTTATTTTTTTGTTTGTTTGTTTATCTTGTAGCATTTTCAGGAAGGGAAGAAGGGAAAAAAACAAGGGTGTTGACAAAACCCCAAGTGATACATTCAAGCACAGAGTGGCTGATGAACGGGCTACTAAGGTAAAGAACAAGTCTGAAACAGCAATTGGTCTATTCTGCTGCAATTTAAGCTGCTTGATAGCAGCCATTAAATCTAATTTGAGGTTTTCTAGGAGATTTCAGGAAAAAGTTAGTGTTTGAGGTTCACGAGCATTGAGATTAACTGGAGGGGGGGCAAAAAAAAACCCCACCTCTATTCCCATAAAGACTACTGAAGCAGTCACAGCAAGGTGCCACACATCTGCACTTCTGTCCTTCTACACACAGCTGGCC